TGTCGCCGTCTTTTTCATTGCTTTTTTCGTAAAATTTCAATGTTGTATGGTCTCTTTGGTCTGCTATATCGTCGTCGTCGTCTTCTTCTTTACAAAATTTCAATTTTATCCCTCGTCTTTCTCACGACTTTCTCGTCTGTTTCTCCGCTTTTTCTCACAATTCTCTTATGGTCATCGTCAAAGAAGTGTCTACGTGCTTGCCGTCGAGGAACTAAGTGTCTAGGTGTCGTCTTGATTTTTGCCGTCAAGAAAGTGAATGTCTACGTGGCTGCCGTCGATGAAGTAAGCGTCTACGTGTTTGCTGTAGAGGAACTAAATGTCTGGGAGTCGTCTACGCTTTCGCTGTCGACGTAGTGATTGTTTACGTGTTCACCGTCAAACATTTAAATGTTTTCGTATCATCTAGGTTTCCGCCATCGAGGAAATGAATGGCTACGTGGTCGCAATTGAGGAAGTGAGTGTGTTCGTACTCGCCATCGAGGAACTAAGTGTCCAGGTGTCGTCTAGCTCTTCGCCGTCAAGGAAGTGAATGTCTACATGGTTACTGTCAATAAAATGAGTGTTAACGTGTTCTCCATCGAGGAACTTTAAGTGTTTGATGTTGTCTAGGTCTTTGCTGTCGATGAAGTAAATGTCTAGGAGTCATCTAGGCTTTCGCTGTCAAGGAAATGAGTGTCTACGTATTCGCCGTCGAGAAACTAAGTGTCCAGGTGTCATCTCGCCTCTCTCGCGACTATCGTCTCTTTTATAGCTCTCTTGTTTCTCACGGCTTTTTTATCTCTTTCACGGCTCTCTCATCTTTTTCACAGCTTTTTCATTTATTTCTTTGCTCTCTCGTCTCTTTAACAATTTTGTCGTCTCTTTTTTAGAACCTTCATCTCTCTTTCGATTTTTTCGTTTCTCTTACGGCTTTGCGTTTCTCTCAAGACTCTCTCGATTTTCTAATAATTCTCTTGTCTCTTTCACAGTACTCTCGCTTCTCGTAATTTTCTTGTCTTTCCTAAAGATTTTTTATCTCTCTCACGGTTTCCTCATCCTTCTCACAGCTCTCATGGATTTTTTACTCCTAGTGATGATATACAAGTCATTTTGTCAATAAAGAAAAATGAAATGAATACATAAGTTACATAAAAATGAATCAAATAAAAAATAAAATGAAATGAATTAAACTTAAAAAATAAGGAATGATATAAGTAAAATAAATAAAATGTAACAAAAACTTTGCAAAAATTAGTGAAATCCGAGGAACAGACATTAAAAATATAAAAAAGATCGAAAAGTATATTTTTTAATGTTTTTACTTCGAAAAAATTGTTATATCAAATTAAAAAAATGAAATCTTTGTATTGTCTTAAATGTATATCACGACCTCGAAAAAAATTTATTAAAAGAAAACCCAAGTGTTATTATCTTTAATGTATAATACGATTACGCAAATTTATTTTGTAAATAATTTTAAAAAAAATTTAATTTTAAAAACCAAAAATATAATACCATAAAAAAAAGTAAAAAAAAAATTATTTCAAGTATATTTATTGTAATTGTATTAAAAAAATATAATAGTGGAAATAAAAAAAGGCGTAACTAAAAAAATGCATTAGTTAAAACAGAAAAATGCTGAAATAATGACATGAAAAAAAAGTGAAATCAAAATGTTATTCCAAGTACATAGATTAGAATAATCAATATCGTAAAAAGAAATTAAAAAAAGATTATACATCAATAACAAGTAGCAAATTACGTGACAGAAAAATCAATGATCGAAAGAAATCTCCAGCAGCAGCACACTTGGCGCGGCCGTTTTATATACATATAATTCATGGAAATAATACATGCAATTTATGCTAACAATACATTATTTATTCCATATAATATTATTATCATTCAGTTTATAACATTATTGTTACAAAAAGTTAATCAGTATAAGAATTTATATGGCAAATTTAGTATATTTGAGTCAATTTCAACTACTTATACCAACGAGTCAAGCATATAACATGCGGCTTTGGCAATAAAAATATATAAAAATCGGGCGCGCCAAGTATGCTGCTGTTCGAGATTTCTTCCCATCTTCGATTTTTCTGTCACGTAATTT